AAATGAAAAATTAGCCAAAAAAAAAAAAAAAAAAATTAAATAAATCCGTTTGTGTTAATCCGAAAATTAATTACAAATTATATTCAAACGGAATAAATTTTTTTTTTTGACGGTTTTTCCCCCCCCCTTTTTCCGCCACTCCGAGTTTTGGGAATTTCGGTTATTTTTTAAAAATGGATAAAGTGACACGTAAAGCTCGCGCTCCTCCCCTCCCCACCCAGTTTCCGTAGCCGCTTTCCGACATTTTTTTTTTTTTTTTTTGTGTTGGAAAAAATTTATGTTACGTTTTCCGGTCGCGGTCATTTTTATAATTATCATTATTATTATTATTATTATTTTTTTAATCATCATTAACGGACCCCCAAAGTAGGACAAACAAAGATGAAAGCGAATAATTAATTAATCGTGTGAATTTTCAGTTTCCGTACCTGCGGTCTCGGCTTCGACGCTTGAAGTGCGTGACGGGTCACCGCCTGGTTGCATTGCATCCAATTCCGCTTGCTGACGAAGGAGGCTCACCCGGTAAAAATAATTGCGCCAAAAATTTTCTTCGCTTACGCTGAAATAATAAAAAAAAAATTCCCATTAGATAAATCATCATCATTATCGTCATTATTATTATTATTATTATTATTATTTTATAAAGTAAATTTTTTTTTTTTTTTTTTTTGAAAATCCGATAAACGTCTCGCTTTTCACTTTATTATTATTATTATTTTTTTTTTTTTTACAGTTATTTACTCGACGGTTAATTTAATTTTTTATTATTATTATCATCATCATCATCATCATTACCTTTATTATTATCATTATTATTATTATTATTACTATTATTGAACGTCACTTACAATATCGATAATAATATAAATCACCGTAAATTTTTTTATTCGAAGCGGGGAAGGGGGAAAAAAAAAAAAATTAAAAAAAATGATAAAACCCCCCTCCCCGACACGGACTTTTCCTCCTTCCCCCTCCTTCCCGTATTTCCATCAATTTTCTCGATCGATTTTCTCGTTCGAGATCGATTTCGGATCGAAAACCAATCAAATTAACGTATGAAATTTTTCTCTCCCGAATGTGTTCCCGATAATAAAAAGTTTCTTTCTTCTTGTACTTCCCGCTCCTCTTTTCGGTTCCCTCCCATCCTCCCTCCTTCCTTCTCTTTCCTCCCCACCCCTCCCCTTTTTGCAAATTCTTACTCCCGCCTTCTTCCATCAAATAAAACTTTTCTCACTTCACTAAAATTTCAACTTTTAAGAATAAATTACTAACTACGCTGTCGTCGTTTTTTTTAACTTTCGACAGCCTTAATAATAATAAATCAATGATGAATATCAATTTTCTGTGCGTTGCAAAGAACATGGGAAAACACGCTTGATATCTGTGTCAACAAACAAACAAACAAAACAAACGAACAAACAAAAAATTTTTTTCGATATCCGCTAATATTCCATTTTCCATTTCCACGATGACGACAACGACGACGACGACTAAAACCGTCTCGCATTTTTCTTTTTTTTTTTTTTGTCATTCAAATTTTAAAAGCCGCCAAAAGAGGACATAAAAAAAAAATAATGATGATGATGATGATAATAATAATAATAATAAAACGACATAAAATAACCCTGGCAAGTGAAATGGCAATCGATTAAGACCGTATTTTATTTTTTATTTTAAATGGAGGAGAGTCACATCGCACAATTTTTTTCTTTTTACCCCTCCCCTCCTCAGTTTTATTTCCTTTTCCTCTCCTCTTTCCCGCCAAAAAAAATCGATATAAATATTTATATATATATATATATATATATATATATATATATATATATATATATATATATATATATATATATATATATGTATGTGAAGAAATAATAAAATCGTGATGTGCATTAAAGTTTAAAGCAATAAAAATATTAATCAATAATATCTTTTTTATCAAAAAAAAAATATTAATAATAATAATAATAATAATAATAATAATAATAATAATTTCATCGTATTACACGTTCGAAATCGGGATCGGGAAAGTGTACAAAAAAAATTAAAACCTCAAAAAAAAAAAAAGGCACGAATATTGTGGGAGGTCACGTAATAAATTTAAATGTAATTTTACCGACAGGTGAATTAATCGAGTGTTTAAACGTGATTTTATTTTATTCGCGAAAAAAATAAAATAATAATAATAAAAGAATATCGATTCGAAAATATAATTCCCCCACCTCTCTCTTCCCCCCTCCCTGTTTTTCTACCCTTTTCCGAATGTAAATAAAAATTAAAAAGAACTTACACTTTGGGTACCAATTCGAATCTCATTTTCTGTAGATTTGGATCTTCGGCTAAAGTCGCGAGAGCTACCTTGTAAGACGCTTCGTAGTCGAATGGAAAATCAACGCCCGGAGGTGGAGCTCGAACAAAATGTCTCGTGTCCTGTCGAAAAAAAAAAATTAATAAATAAGAGTATGACCACCATTTTGGGATCACAAAATAAAACAAACGATTCGGATTTTGCACAAGAAGAAAGGAAATCCCGATAATAAAAAAAAGGATTTCGAATTCGCGCACCATCCATTATCAAATCTCATAATGAGATTTTATTAATTTGAATGAACGATAACGTCGTCGACGACAACAACAGCAACAACGACAACAACAACAGTTAAAAAAAAAAAAAAGGAAAATAATTTTTGTTTTGGCACGTACCCAAATCGAGGAGGCAAATAATCGGAAATAAAAGGAAAAATCCCTTCGAATAATGATAAAAATCTGGAATTTTTTTATTCCAGAAAAAATTATCCCGTTCGATAAGCATAACCGATTTTTCACTTTTACTTACTCATTTCCTTCCTTCCTTTCTTCCTTCCTTTTCCGGAAATATTTTAATCGATTACGAAATAAATACAAAAAAAAAAAAAACAAAACTTAACTTTCTTTATAATTACTTTTTCCATTTTTCTTTCTTCCCGCCCCCCACCACCTCCTCCGCCTCCTTCCCTCTTCCCACCGTATGCAGTTCATTGACTTCACGATTAACGAATAAGATTTTCCTTTTATTCTTTTCCTCTTTGTTTTTTTAAATTATGACGTCACCAACGCCCGAAAGGGTAAAAAAAAAATTTATTTTTTTTTTAAATTTCCATTTAAAGTATGCATGTGCGCAACACATTTTCTAAAGACTTTAATGAAAATTTAATTTAAAAAAACAAAAAAAAAAAAAAAAAAGAAAAGTCTTCAAACGTACCTAACTACTGCACGTTACTCAGTAAATCTCCTCCGCATTACATTTTTAAATCCGCCATTTTTTTTTTCCCTCGCGTCCTTCGTTAATAATAATAATAATATACCTACATAGATTTAATTTTCTTTTCTTTTATTATTATTATTATTTTTTTTTTTTTTAATTAAAAAATTTTTTTTTTTTTTTTTTTTTAATGAATCTGTTCATGAGTCTCTTTGTACGTATCGATTTAATAAAATTCGCATTTATTTTAACTCGGTCGAAAAAAAGTCGAAAATAAAAAAAAGGTTAGTTAAACCTTTCTTTTTCCCCCCGCCTCCCCGCCGCCATTTAAAAATCTTACATAATTTTTAAAGCCTTTTTGTTGAAAAAAAACATATATATTAATGTTTTTTTTTGATTTATTTTTAAATTTTCACGCAGGATGGCGTGCTTTCATCATTTCCAGTTTTTCAGTAGGGGAAAAAAAAAAATAAAAATTAAAAAAAAAAAAAGTACCAATGGTGGTGGTGGTGGTGGTTTCCGAGAAAAAAAAACAAAGAGGAAAAATGTATTGCAAAAGAAAATATTTTTCGCTTTTCCGACGGATTTCGCTTTTTCGTATTTGGACGACAAAAAAAACCCCCCACGTGCAAAATTTTAAAATTTTTAAGGCAAACATAAAAAATTATCATTATTATTATATACATTTTTTTTCCTAATGGAGTCACTGGGTCAAAAAGTTTTTCTCTCCATCTACATTTACGTCGCGACCGCCATAGCGAAAAAAGACTCGGAAAATTTTTTTTTTTTTGTTACTCACGGTCGAAAGTGATAAGCATTCTTGTTTTAATGATTCTTCGTTGGGTACGCCCACCCATGGAGGAACCGCAGCATCTGTAACTTTACTCTGTTGTTCTTTTATGAAAGCTTCTTGCTCTTTGTTAAAATCACCCAGAATGCTCTGAAATAAATTTTAAAAAAATAATAATAATAATAATAATAAAAATATACAAATAATATCAAAAATAAACGGGGGTGCGGGGGGAAAAAAACAAAGGCCGATTTTTTTTTCTTCGGCTCCAGTTAAACTCATTTATATTTTTCCACCATAAAAAAATACTGATGTCGTTTTCTTCGAAAAGGGAACAAAATGACGCAAAAACAAACAAAAACAAAAAAAATTTTAAATTTTTTAATTAATTAATTAAATTAAAAATGAAAATGAAAATCGTTCGATTCGTTTTATTTTCCTATTTATTATCGAACGAATGCAAATGTTAGAAAAAAAAAAAAAAAAAAAAAACGAAAATGAATGCGGAGAGTGAATAAGTGGAAAACGTTTCCAGGAAAATCTTTTCCAAACAGGTATTCCTTATGAATTTTAATAAATATCGCTTTGGGAAGGGAAAACGGGGAGGGAGAGAGGTAGGAAGGTAGAAGGTAGTACATATGCATATATACATTTATATTTTGATTCCCTTATTGCAAAAAAAAAAATAAAAAAATAAAAATGAAAAAATTTCATAGACGTATAAATTTTTCCAAAATTAAAATTTTTTATCATGCATTTTTTTATTATTTAAAATTTTACAAAAAAAAAAAAAAAAGATCCACGTGATTGATTGATTGATTATCTATATTCGATCGTTGAATTTTTTTTTTTTTTTTTTATTAAATAAACTGAATATTTTTCCGTCGTCAAAATTCATCGAATTTCAACGGGGTAGGTTAGCGTTTCCCTAAATTAAAAAAAAAAAAAAATTAAAACTCGATTTACCCCCCTTCCCTCCCTCCTAATAATACCTCAATTTGGTTTTCACCCGGAAAAATACAAATAAAAAAAAATAATAATAATAATAATAAAATCGCTCTCTTGACTTTACTCGAGTGTGGAGTAAAAAAAAAAAAAAAACTTTTCCTTTTTTTTTTTTTTTTTTTTTTTTTTTAAATTTCAATTAAAAACTTTTTTTATCCTTTTTTCCTTTTTTTCTTTTCCTTCTTTTGTTCCTTTTCACTTAAAACCATTAAGGAAACTTAAAATAAGTAATTTTTCATAATTGGAAAAGTTGTTGTTAGTTTACCTTTACTTGTGTTTTTCAAGCAATAAAAATAATAATAATAGTAATAATAATAATGATAATATACATGTGTATATTTACATATTTGTAAAGTGCTTTCGATTTACCGACAACGTTTTTCTTTTCCTACGCAAAAAAATAAAATAAAATAATAATAATAATTATTATTTTTTAACAAAAAACCGAATTTTTTTTTATATTCGCCCACGACCACGTAATTTCTCAATCGTTCGATTTTCCATAAAGACAGGGAGGAGGAAGGGGGTGGATGGGGAAACAAAAATGGTCAAATCAAAGTTCGATTTACGCCATTTTTTTAAATTACCTCATAATCTTTTTCTTCTCTTCTTTCCTCACCACCTCCCGCTTCAAAAATCCCTACCGACAATTTTTTTATCCCAGAATAAACATTTTCAAAAAAAAAAAAAAGGAAAATTTTCTACGTTTTCAAATTTCCCTTTTGTCTTTTATTATTATTATTATTATTAACATCACATTGATAAGGGTGGTACGTGACGTGTCAGCAACGACGACGCCATATGCTGACCACTTAATTAATCGGTTAAACACGACAACATATCTCAAATACAATATAATCGTTTCGATTCGTTTCTCAATAATACTAATAATAATAATAATAATCGTTCCCTGGGAAAATTTTAAAAAGAAAACCGAGCACGGAGCGGTGTAAAAAAAAAAAATACATTCAGAAAAATTTTCTTCTCACCGCAATGGGGGTTTCATTTTTTTCGTTTTTACCCCCAAAATAAAATTAAAAATAAATAAAAGGAAAAAATTGAGTTTTAAGGTAAAAACCGTTTTTTTTAAAAAAAAAAAATGGCCGGATTTCTCAGTCTGGTTAGACTTTTCTTTTCGTCAGTCGGTTGAAAACCAAAGTGAAAAAAAAAACAAAATGGGGGGAAGTTTTATCGATCTACATGATATTACCCTCGGTAAGAGAGCGTTTGCGCGATTCAAAATCCAAATGGATGTAACTTGAAATAATAATATCACGAACGTATTTACCTAAAAATCTATCTCAGTGTTTCAACCTCCTCCGGAGCCATTTTTTCCAGACCTAAATTCAATTAGTATGACTTTTTTCCTTTTTTTTCCATACTCGATTTAAACATTTTCCAAAAATTTATTTATTTATTTATCGTTCGCCATCATTATTTTCCACATCCCCTCTCTTTTTTTTTTTTTTTTTGATTTTTCTTACTATAATTATTATTATTATTACTATTTCAGAGACGGAAAATTAGGAAAATTAGAAACTTTTTCACATTCAGTTTTAAATTTCTATTTAACTTTTCGAAAAAAAAACAAAAAACTTTTAAATCCTTCGTATATAAAAGAAGGATTTTATAAAAAAATTTTTTTTTGCGAATGTAGGTCGTTTCGGGAGACGCGTTCCCCCCCCCATCCGTCTAATTTTTTCTTTTTTGTTTTATTTGCAATTTCTTTCGGCTTAGCGAAAAAAATCAAACATTTATTTTAGAAATTTTTTTTCAACCCCTAAAAAAAACCCCTTCTACCCCCTCAAAAAAAAAAAAAAATTAAACGTAAAGCCGAAACGTGAAGAAAAGAAAAAAAAAATCATTCGATCAATAAAAAATAAATAATTTTTTTCCCACCGTTTTTTTTTGTTTTTAAAAATTATATAACAAAAAAAAACGAGAAACGAGAGCAAAAAAAAATAAAAATAAAATTCAGGATTACGATTAATCAGAACGGATTAAAAGCAAAAAATCCTCGAAATAAATTTTTTCTAGCAAAAAAAAAAAAAAAAAATTAAAAAAAAAAAAACCATACGCGCACAAACACCGTGAAAATCTTACCTTCGTAAAAAAACAAAACCTGACCCTCAAAAAAAACGTAAGAAATGTCCACATTAATAAATGAGAGAAAGAGAGAGAGAGAGGCAAAAAAAAATTTTTCAAAATTTATATTTGAATAAATAAAAATAGACAAGAGGAAAAAAAAAAGGAGGAAAAAAAGGAGGCGCAAACTCCACAGACATAAAGTAAAAAAAAATTTTTTTTTTATAAACGTCACAACAGAATCCCTAAATCTTTTTTTCCACACACACACATTCACAAACGTACCTTAACCTTAAAAAAAAAAAATAATAATAATAAAAAAAGAGAAAACGAAGAAGGAAGATAAAATAATAATAGAAACCCTCATCCTCATGGAACTTTGTCCGAGGTGTCCTTTTCCACTTTTGAAAAAAGCGTAAAATAAAAAAGGTTATAAAAAAAAAAAAACAGTTAAACCCAAAACATTTTTTTGCGATAAAATTTCAAAGTGAAAAAAAAAATTTTTTAATGAATTCGCAATAATAAGAATAATAATAATAATCATCGTTACGATGAAAAAATCAATAAGGAAAAAAAACAGAATTTGACAAAAAAAAAAAAAAAAAAACTTTCTCTAATTTCCTCCATCTTTTTTTTTGTTTGTTCCTCCTTCTATTCTTTCGAAAAAAAGTAAAAAAAATTATGGGGAGGGGTGAGGAGGGGCTGCTAAGAACTGAAACGTCTTTTTCATTCACTCATTCATTACACCACTCATTATTTGAATATTGAACCAAAAAAATATTTTTTAAAAAAACAAAACAAATAAAATAAAAAAAAAAACATGTCGGGTTTCAAATCCAGATATCGCAAAAGATGATGCAACGAATGAAACGAACAAGAAGAAAAAAAAAAAACAAATTCAATTTTTTCTTCTTTCCGACCCCCTTCCCGTGCGGCCCCCCCACCTCCACATTTCATTTGAAGGAGTTATTTAAATAATTTTAAACGTGTCGCAAATAATAAAAAAAAAAAAAAAAAAAAAAAAAAAAACTTTTTCCGTCCGTGCCAGGTTGAGAATCTCCCAAAACAAACAAAACGAAAAAAAAAAGAAAAATGGAAAACGGAAAATCGATTGAACCTTACACGTTTCGTCATCCGAAAGATGGCAGGCACCACGAACAAAACCTTAAAAATCTCACATTTCGAATAATAATAATAATAATAATAATAAAATTCTTATTTTAATCAATTATTCACCGAGTTACTACCATCCGTGGGAATTGGTAAGATAATTAATTTTAAAAAATCGATGCGAAGAAAAAAACAAGGGAGGAAGAGAGGGAGGGAGATGGAGTGGGAGAGGGGAGGGGAAAGGGTGGAAAAAACTTTTCCGAGGAGTGCATTCTTCTTACTCTTTAAAAAGAAAAAAAAAAAAATGTAATTAATTAATTAATCGTTTTCGCAGAATTGTTGTTGTTATTTAAAATGCCATTCACTTTTCCTTTTTTTTCCTTTTTTTCCTTTTCTTTTACAACCTTTCTCGCACACTAGTTTTATTTCCACACGTATACTCGACAAAGGAAAAAATAAAAATAAATAAATAAAAGTGATCTCATAAATCATAGAATGGGAAAAACGTCGTCGTCGTCGTTTTTTTCGTTTTTGTTAAAAATCGTCTTTCACTTTTCTCGTAGAAAATAAAATAAATAAAAAAACCTTAAAAGGTTTCTTCTTAACTCAACCGTTACGCAAAATTTAATATACATAAATATATAACTTAATTCTTTGGCGTCTTTTGCGATTTTCTTTGAAAAAAAAAAAAAAAAAAAAAAATTTATAAGGAAATTACGAAAACGTTTAAATTTTATTTATTTTATTATACGTGTATCGTCTAAAACCCGAAAAAGAGAGAGAGAGAGATAGTGAGAGAGTACGCGGATGGAAGGAAGGATTTATCGTTTTCACAACTTTCCCACCATATGTATGCACGCATCTAATAGAAATTTAGCCGAATCGAGGAAGAAAAAAAACGTTAGTTTAACAACAACAACAACAACAACAAACTTTAATCCCTTTTCTGATTTACAAAAATAATAATAATAATACTCAATCGTTAATTAACTAAATAAATTTGTTTAAGTTTATGATAAGTCTTACGTTTAAACGTTTTGACGATATTGAAAAATACTCGGTTTTGCGATTGACGTGGAAGGAGAAATGACGTGGATTTAGCATCACGTGAATTCATTTATACTCTTTTTCTTTTTTGGTGCATTCCGGGATTAATTTAAAAATTTCGTCACGAAAATCTTATTTGCAACATTCGCGGGACGCGCGGAGTAGAGAAAACGTTAAATTAAAAAAAAATTTTGGGAATCCCAGGGATACGTCTGTTTAAATTTCCCAATCGAAACGTATTTTTTTTAAACAAAAATCCCCACTATCCCCCCCTCCCCCCAAAAAAAATCATGACGTAATAAAATAAATAAAAAAACGAAAACACGACGACAAATTTAGATAAATTAAATGTCCGCATGATGGCAGACTTTACAAAAAGAAAAAAAAAAAAAAAAAAAATTTCCCCCCCATTTTCCATACATTTTAGTAGTAAAGGAATGAATTTCATTAAAGCAGACGACGACAAAAAGGAATCAACTAACGGGGAGAGGGGAGAAGGGGGGGAGGGAAAACAACAATTTTACGATCGCATTCGCGTGATGATTAATTAATTATTATCACCTTAATGACTCTGACAATTTTTTTTTTCTAAAAGGGAGTCAAATCCGCGGTGACCAATTTATCGACCGTGTAATTTTAAAAATGAATTACGGTTTAAAGCTTTAAATCTTCTCCCTTCCACCCTCCTCCCTTCCGTTATCATCGCATCTTATCAGGTAATTAACGACAACAACACCGAGAGTGACAACGACAACAACGACGCCATGACGAAACCTCGAAAAAGGAAAAACCGTTCGTTCGCTTTTACGTTCGTACAATTAGAAAAAAGAATGGCATCGTAATTATTACATGTTTTTCCGAAAATTTAATTCGAAATTGTGAATGTTTTCAATTTTCGATTACGAAACAAGAACAAAAATAAGAAGAAAAAAAATATCTAAAATAAAATAAAAGGAAGGGAAGGGAAAAGGGGAGGAAAAAGAAAAATTTTCAAACTACTCCAAAAAAAAAAAAAAGAAAATTCGAAATTACCGAGAAAATCTTGTTAAGAAAAAAATTTTTTCTTTTTTTTCAACTTTTTTCTTTTTTTTTGTTTTTAACTCCTCTTTAAAAAAAAAATACTTTTCAAAAAAACCAAATCTTTTTTTCGCTTTCAAAATAAAAATAAAAAAAAAAAAGAAAAACTTCAATACATCATTTTCCGCATGATCCAATCTTTCCACTTCCAATAATGATTGTGTGTGTGAGTGTGCGGGGGGGTGGAGGGAGGGGGGG